ATTGATAATTTTTTAGTAAATTAATTTTTGAAAGTACGGAAATTATTAATGGTGAAGGTAGGATTTCTAGTAAGTAGATATATAAATAAAACAAAAAAATATAATATATATTTTTAATAAAAAACAATCAAAATAAATATGAATAAACTTAAACATAAATAGTATTTTTTTAATACACTTACATTTTTACATATAATTTAACAAAATAAATATATTTCTTCATGCTTATAAAATAATACAATTTAGCATATTTAAATTGATAAAAAAATAATAATAAAAACCTAGGTAACAAATTTAATCCCTAATTAGGGTTAACTAGTCAACTACTAACACAAAATTTAATAAAATACGTTTTAATAACAATACTTTCTAATAACAATTTCATATAAAATCGAATATTTAAAACTTAATTTTTACTACACTATAATAGTTTCCACCTTTTTCTTTGGTTTCCACTGGTTAAAAGGTATTGAATTGTATACATATATATCACAGTTTTGGTAAAATAGATTAATTATTTATTAGTACATTTTTGTTTTTTTATTTTATTTTAAAAATTACCTTTGGAAAAAGGTCCAATGTCCAAATAATTTAAAAATAACATTCATATTATTATGTTTTTTATTCCAAATAATTACCTTCTTGGCACAAGTTGCTTCATTTGGTAGATCTACAACCATTTCTGTTTCGGATCTGTAAATTTCATAGTTGGAAAATTAGTTAACAGATATAAAAAATAAATGGTATAATATTGTTAATTGAAGACTCTTCACTTAACAATAATATAATATTACCTTTCAGGCAAATGCAAAGTTGGAACAGCATTCTCAGTAAGGCCTCGGTAGGCTTTAGGTGGTGACAAACCATATAAAACTTTGTGTGAATGTCTTACCAAATATTTTGGCTCAAAATGTATAGCACAAATTCGATCTAAATAAATAATATACATTGATAATTATGTTTTGCACACATTGTAGTGGAACTTACAAGACTTTGGTTTTTCCATTATAACCATTGAATTATCAGCAGCCTCAATCCATTCTTTGGCTTTTCTTTCTCAGTAAGGCCTCGGTAAGCTTTAGGTGGTGACAAACCATATAAAACTTCGTGTGGATGCCTTACCAAATATTTTGGCTCAAAATGTATAGCACAAATTCGATCTAAGTAAATAATATACATTAATAATTATGTTTTGCACATATTGTAGTGGAACTTACGAGACTTTGGTTTTTCCATATTAACCATTGAATTATTAGCAGCCTCAATCCATTATTTGGCTTTTATAGAGTTTATTTCAAAATAGGCATTAATTAGTGTTTATAAACAAGTACACTAGTACAGTCAACTGCCAATGACAAAATCAACACAAACAGGAGCACACTCAACTGATTCACAGTGTGAATTTCACACTGGTAACGTCAATAAAACCAAACAGGAACACACAGGAGCAAACTCAACTTATGTTAATAAAATCCAATAAACTAACAACGTTTAAAACGATTATGAATCTGTATAAATAGAGCACAAATCCAAAGCATAAAGATTGTAAACAACAAAAATGGCCGCCTTTAAACTTTTTGCAGTGGGTTGCCTACCTCCGTGATTTTTAGTATGCGCGAAACGAGGAAGAACAGACCTTGTTGTGTGGATTGTGAGCCAGCCATCTTTTTTACATGGTCGTTAACGACAGACAATTGTGAATTGTGAACCTAGATACCTATCTAGGATTGTGAAATGATGTATTCTCAACCAGACGAAAGGTACGTAAAAAAACGATTCCATCATAAGTTATATATGCCAACATGGTAGAATAGTTATTTAAATTAAAAACAATAATTGTTTTACAAGTGTGAAGAGCGACTTTTTCATGCAAGTGTTCAGTTGCAATATTACGACCCTTTTATTTTTTATCACAATTTTCCAATACAAATTTGCCTTAGCAAAACTGGAATATAAAAACTTTTTAGGTTATTTTGTTTAAATGAAAATATTTATTTTCTTAGCAACGGTGCCGTTTTCGAAATGTGACTTTTACATAGTGGTCGTGGAAAATAGTATATTATACTATGCTTTTTCTACTCCAATTAAGTAATTTTCATTAATTACAAACTTTATTATAACCTCACTTTCTCCCGAGTTTAATGAACATAAGAGTCGCCCCTCGTATATACAGGGTGTCACGAAATTAGGGGGCCAAACTTAAACAGTGCGTACTTTATAGAAAAATAGCACCTTTTTGTTTAATAAACATATATCAAAAAATGCCCCCTAACGGAGCTTCGCCCCCCTAAATAGGAGCTTAAGAGCATCATTTTTTTTTAAACTATTCCTAGAGGGTTGAATATGAAGACCTGAATTTTTGGTGCTTTAGTAATTTTGACATTCTGAATCTGGATCTAAAATCAAAACTGTTAAAATTGAATCATAGGCTTAACATTTGGGGGGGGGGGGGAATTTACAAACAGCCCCAACTTTTTTCAGAGCGAGTATTTTAATGTTTTGTTATAAAATTATGAAAATGTATAGTCTTTTACGAAAAATAGGTACTCTTGCTTTGAATCGCTCAGATGCACTATTTTCGAGAAAATTGCATTTTAAAATACTATAGTATTTTAAAATGCAATATATGCTTAGCATAATTTCTCCATTTTCATTAAAAGGCTTTGGGACAAAAGTGACGTTTGGGTTATTTGCTGACTTTACATTTATTGTTATAGTTTATTTAACATTTTCTGGCTCGATTTTTGTTATTTTTTTATTATGGAGCGATTTTCCAAATTTTAGTACAAAGTTTTAATGAAAATATGAGATGTGTATACATGCTATGCAGAGTAATTTATAATTGCATTTTTCTCGAAAATGGTGCAACTGAGCGATTCAAATCAAGAGTAGTTATTTTTCGTAAAAACTATAGTTTATATATAAGTTTTCCTAATTTCATAAAAAAAAATAAAATATTATCTCAGAAAAAAGTTGGGGCTATTTTTAACTTTGTCCCCCAAATGTTACGCCTATGATTAAATTTTAACAGTTTTGATCTTAGATCTGGATTCAGCATCTCAAAATTACCAAAGTACCAAAAGTTCATTTTTTCATGTTTAACACTCTAGGAAAGATTAGTAAGTGATTTTTTTTAATTATAACTTTTTTAAATTTTATAGTTAATTTGCCATTAGGGCATGCATAGAAAAAAAACCTGATACAACGATTTTATTTTAATTTTAATGTTAAAGCCTTTACCTAAATTCTAAAAGATTAATATTGCTCTACATTAAATTTAAAGCAAAAGTGTTGGATCTCTATTCTAGCTAATAGCTTTTTAGGCCAATAGTCTTGGAATGCTGGGTGGCAAAAATAGTGAAGATATATGTAGAAATATATTATCCCGATTATTAGCTAAAAATTTGAGAATTCAGCTAAATTGGTCTGGTAGACAGGAAAAAATAGCATTTTCCGAATATACTAATATAAATAAGGTAATTTTAGGTATAATTTTAATACCAGGTAAACCTTTTTTCCTTTTATCTTAATTGTTTTCTTTTAGTCGCTGTAAGGAAACATGAATATGCACAACATGCGTCTCAAACAGATGTTGAAAAGGCCACTAAACTTTGGCTAAGAAATTCCTACGACCGAAAGACTTCAAAAGAATAAAACAAAAATTGTTAATAATTTTTGAAATTTTATTTATTATAATTTTTAAGAGAATTTTATTTTTTGTTATAAAAGAATTTATGATTATTTTTTAAATACATTTTTTATAAAATCTTTTTTTATTTACTCTCAACTCTGGGAACAATAAATCTATATAGGTTGAAATACGGTTCTGATATAGCAAATGTACAGCAAATGTTGGTAAAGCCTAAAAGATAATAGATGCAAAAATTAATAGGCGCGCCTATTAATTTTAACTCTCGAGAGATCTCTTACCTTTTAGGCTTTAGCATGTGGGCTTTGAACCATTTTAGGTCCTACTAGTTTTCTGCATATATCTTGTTATGCTGTAACCTTTAAATAAAGAAAAATAACCATGTATAATATTAATGTTAATACTAAGAGATGCGACATTTGTATTTGTCCCCATATATTGTACTTTAATTATTTGTTTTATTATTTTTTCAAAACAGCTGTAGTTCAAAGCACGCGTGCTAAAGCCTAAAAGGTAAGAGATGCAAAAATTAGTAGGCGCGCCTAATAATTTTACCATCTATTATCTTTTAGGCTTTAGCAACATTTGTTGTACATTTACTTTGCAGTAACTGTGCAGCCAATGTATACATTTACTGTGCAGTAACTGTGCAGCCAATGTATACATTGGCTGCACAGTTACTGCACAGTTACTGCACAATTATGTACACAAACTGCATTGTTACTGCATGGAAATGGCATACAGATATTGTACAGTAACTGTACTCAAAGGCAGCATGAGCAATGCAGTATCAATGCAGTTTCGCGGGACATATATGGTCCGTTTCGATACAGTTACTGCGCCCCAATTGCTGTACAGCAAGTACAGCAGAGTTGTACAGTTTCCGCGCAGCGGCTGCTTTTCAGTGTTTGCTGGGTAATTAGGTATTAATTATGAAAAAGTAATTAATTTATAATTAATTACTATGCTTGATAATGATACTGTACTGTATACTGTACCAAACATCGCCACAATTTATGATTAATGCAAGATAAAAAACCTTAAATATTGTCTAACAGCACCTCTTAGGCAAGCATTCGTAAACATACGTTTTCAAACATCATGTATGTTCACCAAACATCGAATTCATGAACATGCATGTTTAGCGAAAGGGAATAGGCCTCATAGTGGTCTAAAATATAAATAAACTCTAGGTACATATGTATTTCATAATTTATGTACTTTTAATTATTATTAAAAAAATTCATTTTACTACAATGAACAACAATGAATGAAAGTGAGTAAAATTATATCCCTGTACGGAATTAGTTTGTCACGATGTATTTTATTTAAGTAATTCATTTTTTTTTAGTATTGGATGTACAAATTTAGGGATACTTCACATCCTTTTGACCCTTCAAACAAAAATAAAACAGAGCTACAAGTGCAGTTTACATCTAATTTTTCCATTGTATCTCAAGTTATCACTGTTTTGTTTTTGGCTACAACAGCTATTTTTGGAAATAATGTGGCGATACATAAAAAAATTATTTTTTCGCTAAGTTTAATGATGTTAATGTTTATGATTACTATAGTTTTTGTCGTTATAGATACGGATTCGTGTAAGTATGAACAATTTTGAATTTGCAATCAGTGATGATCACACTCTTTCACGAGGCAGGGGAGGGGAAGTCCCTGGAATTTACTTTATGAGAAAACCACTAATTCTAATTGTGAACTAAAATATGTCACCTCTACCAAAGGATTAAGAATAATCTTTGTTTTAGGGCAACTTGAATTTTACGGACTTACTTTAGCAATGGGATGCATATTAAACGGTAATTTTAGACTTTTTTATTGATAAATTACCTAAACGAAACACATTATTTGGGTTATTCTTTATCATATCACCGAATCGTGCGAAAATTCGATTTTTAATAGTACAACACTTGTTTTCTGCCTATAGGAATAAATTGGATTTTTTTTATAAAATTAGGCATTAGGTAGGTACCATATTTCTTTGGTATCTACAAATACCAAGGCCGTAATTTAAGTTAAATTAGAAATAAAAAATACTCATATTTATTAGACAGGTTTTTCAAATTTTTACATTACTATTATTATACCTAACATATTTATTTATGTCCCAAAAATTTTCGAACAATTGTGCGATTTGGTATGGAATATTCCATTTTAAAAACCAGTTTTATATAAAAACCTGTTTATTTTTAGCGGGGAGTGCAATTTCAATGTTGTCTAGTTTTCAGCTGTGTTTTAAATTTCCACCTAGCTATCTTGTAGCCCAACTCTCTGGTCAGGCGATTTGCGGAATTTTCGCTAGTGTAATACAAATTATTTCATTAGCTAACGGGCAAGAAAATGTTAAAATAAATGCAGTAATATACTTTGGCACTGGGACATTATGCATACTTTTAACCATTTTATTTTACCTATTCCAAAGAGTGAAATCGGAGTTTTTTATGGGATACGAAACGTTAATAATTCAGACCTTACAAGCTGAAACTCCTCGACCACTTAAAGAACTACTTATAGAAGTTTTCCATAAAATAAAAATTTATTTGTTTAGTATGGTATTAGTTGTGGGAACAACATTTTTGGTTCATCCAGGTCTAACAGCGTTGGTGCAGTCTGTTGGTCGTGGAAGTAGTTGGAATAGTAAGTGATTATAATTACTATCCGGCATTGATTTTGAACGTTTTAAGTATATCTATAGTATAGGTACTAGTGCTGCATTTTTCCCGTAAGGAGATCAGATGTCAAACGTCTGTAATGCTCCCATTGATGGTTAAATTATGATACGCAACAACTTTGTTAAACTAATATTAGAAATATTCCCCAACACCAAAACAAAACTAGCCTTATGTTCAACATCAACATCATAGAATAGGATTTGACAACCTTAAACTTGTTAAGGAAGTTAGGGAACCAAGTCTGCTAAATAGTTAAAAGTTTATACATCTATAAGTATATAAATAAATCTTTAATTAGGGATAAAGGACCGGTACACAACTCTAGTTTGTATAAATCAGTTTGTTAGTATCTCTTTACGTGTTCACTGAAGCGATTACGGTCCACGGTTTGGTAAACTATGTCCATTTACGGTTCAGACAACCTTAACTTATAATTAGTATAAATCTGAAGATGCCAACATCGAAAAATATTTTAGGCACTTTAAGCTTTTGTTTTGGCGTTGATGAATATTTCTAATATTTGTTTAATATATCAGCAAAGTTGAGAAGTGTCTACAGATCCCGCACATGCGCTTTGGTTAACTGCTGATCCACTGCCAGAAGTCAAAAAGTTTTGTTATTATCCTAATGGGTATTTTGTTTGTTATTATGCGCTATTTTACCTATAATATAAATAAATTTAAATTATTTAATGTTCAAAATTTATAAAATGTATCACAATGGGGCGGGGTCGGTTGGGTTGGGTTGTTGAGTTTGTGTTGGTTTCGCTCACTTTTGCCCATTTAAGTTGATTGACAGTAGATCAGCTGATAAACCAAAGCGCATGTACGGGATCGAAAGCCTTTGTGAAGCATGGTCTGTAGATTCTAGTCCAAAGTTGTCCTTTTTCAAGTAACAACTTTGTTATTACACATTATAAAAGATTTTCAAAAAAATATTGTTCTTTTAATATTGTAAGGAAACAAGATAGTTTATTTTCTCAAGCCATAAAAATGTATTCATGTAACGACCTCCAAGTTATAAGAATATCTTTTATAATGTTATTGAAAACGTTACCACCAAGCTGCATACAATTTTAAGATCTTTGGAATAACTTTTCTGTTTTAACGCTTAAAAAGTTCACGATCCATGAAGCAAAGTATAATTTATAAAATTTAACTATGTTTTGTGTATAATTTTAAATTGTTTTAGCAACATACTTTTTACCTACTATTACTTATTTATTACATAATGTGTGCGATTTAACTGGAAGGGAACTGGCAATGAGAATAAAAAAGGTAAAACTTACTCAAGTTTTTGACAAAACATATACCTATTAATTATTTTTAACATTTAAGCCATGTAGTCAAACATTACTTTTCATAACTTCAATTATAAGAATAGGAATGGTTCCATTATTAATGTTTTGTAATGCGACACCAAGACACCATTTGCCAGTTGTATTCAATTCTGACACTGCTTACATTATTTTTATATTTGTGCTTTCCATTTCAAATGGATATTTATTCAATACATCTATAATGGGCATTTCAACGTTAGTAAAAAAAACTAATATACAAACTATTTTAAATAATGTTAAACTTGTTTTCAGTGTTACGACGAAGAAAGATCAGCAATATGTATTTATATTAATTTTAGTATGTATGCTTTCAAGCATGATGGCATGTTCAATTATGAATAGTTTAATAATTAAATTAATATAGAAACAAATATTATATATAACTAGATTAAATCTAGAAGATTTGTTTATTGTAATTTTAATTAATCAAAACAAAGTATATTCCGCATTGACATTGATTATTCTTCATTGACGAATTATGTAACTAAATAAATAAATGTATAGAGATCAATTTGTTTTAGTACTTAGACACTTCGGTAATCATTGGCTCGTTATAAAGTACTAATGGTTAATCTGTAGTTTCTCTAATGAAATTTTTCCAATCATATAGAGGACCGCCCCCATCAATTCGAAACATTTTTCAATGAAATTAAGTTTTTGTTTGTTAGTAGTTGGTGTTTACCCCAGCCACAATTATATAAAATTAAGATAATTGCATTGCAATTCATAACTTTATTTAGGAAAAAAATGTTTTGTTTATTTAAAAATTACTGGGCTCTTTTCTTTTTCTAAATGTTGTGAAAACAATGTTTCTTTGAAGTTTGTTAATTAATAAATTTAAACCATCTTTAATGGGAAATTTAATTTCATTAAAATAAAATACTTTTATCTAAACAATTAATTTATTATACAAATTAAAATAAATCTACAATAATTAACAGTCAATTAATTTAAAAAAATCAAAAGAATATAATAAGTTTAATATCTAATAGGTTAACCTATAATTATATTACAATTTATTAATTTATTACGAAAAGCTTTAAAGCTCAAAATATTTGACCTAAAATTTAATTTAAAAAAATGTACATAGGGCATTAGTAAAACACATTTACTCTTAATATAAATACAAAGGAACTTTGTATGTATATGAAAAATATGATATTCTTCTTAAGTACTAATCGCATGTATTTAAAATTGCATGAATCATGTATATATGTGTAAATTATTAAATACATAGCAATTATAAAAATATTAATAAAATCGTTAATATTTTATATAAATACTTATTTTAAATATACTTAAACCAAGTTAAACTTTTAAATAAGAATTTAAAATTATTATATAAAAATCTGAAGACACTGGTAAATTTTTAGGCACAATATTATAAGTATTATTTTTTAACTGTATATCTAAGTTTATGGCAGTTGTATACTCGATGCTAAGACACAGACGTTAATAAATATTTACATGCTAAATTAAAAAAAAAGATCTAACTCTTTCCTGCATAAGTGGGATTTTTGAACGTCGAAGTAGCTTGTCTATAAATTGGATTTTCACCCTAAAATAGGTAAAAACATGTTTAGCTTAAAATTAAATACATACCAATATATGAATATATTAATAACAAAAAAGAAATAACTTACAGTATCCCATTTTGCCATCATTCTCTCCTTTTCGAATCGAGCAAATTCCCGTCTATCATGAATCGTGGTAAATAATTTCCAAAGAAGTAATATGGCCATACCGATTAAAACGATAGCTGCTATAACACCCAATACTATACCAGGAACATACACCTATAAAATCATTTTATATAAATAAAGTTATTTAGGAATGGACTAAAAATAAAAATTTACAGACAATATTTTAAACCAGAAATCAGACTACTTTGTTTATTATGCGATGAATCCAAATCCGACCTCGGAATTTTTAAATCACGTCAAATTTTTGAGAAATACGCTAAAGAAGTATCGGGTTTTCGCAACGCGCGCGCCATCTAGTGGAATGCATTGCGTGAATTTAAGAATTGTCAACAATAAATTTAAAGCACCGATTATACCTACATCATTTTTTAAATAAAAAGGTAGTTTTTTTACAAAAGAGAGGAATGCAGAAGTCTTACTCGACAAATTTTGTTCAATTGCACAGCTAAATCGCGTACGTTATTTGTGTTTTACGTTGCAAGGAAAAAATTAAAAAACTTTTTTAGTACTCGATTTTGATTGATTATTCCATATATCATTGATTAAGAAACTCAAAGCTTAAATGCTTATATAGTTACGTTAGTGTTTGTAGTTTATCAAAGGGATCATGGTGAATCATTGTGTTTTTAATTGTAAATAAAATTCAAGAACTAAATCGTTGCATTTTCATGTTTTGCCAAAGAATCCAATTCAGTAAGTACATTTGTTGGTGCAGAATTAAGTAATGATAACTTTACACAATATAATTTATATTTAAGTTTGGACATTTTTAAGAAATTAGTCAAAAATAATTTTTGCACAATCATAACCTTAAAATCAACCATTTTTATATTTGAGTTCTCTAAAAAACGCCGACAACTGCATTTTAAACAACAAAATATACCTACGAATTCATGGCAACATAATATTATATATAATACATTCATAATATAATGGTATTTTACCGTTGAATGGAGACTTTAAAGAATTCTTTTAAATGCTGTTTAAATTTAGACGACTTATTTGTTTAACGATTTTTACTGAATTGAAATGTTTACATTTTTCAAGTTAATCATTACTAAAATGTGTATTTATTGTATCTAATAGGTACAATTTATATTTACAGAGTCTGCATACATGCAATTTATTTCATCATTCCGATTAACACTGTTTATTGGAAAACCGGTAAAAACTCAACCCAGGATTTCCTCTCGAAATACACCCAACAACACAACAAATCGATCCACGTTTTTTTTCTATATTTTTTAACATTTTCCAGCTTTATTCTCAAAAACACTCGTTTGACAGCTGATTATTAAAATTTCTACTTTTGTTACGATGATAACAGCCGAGTGATGGGGCTACTAGCGATACTTCTTTAGCGTATATTAAATTTTAAAAGTGGGACAATATTTGAGGTTATGTAGTTATGTACATCACGAGGTATTTTTTTAACAAAACCGCAATCTTGTCCTTAAATCCATTTTAAATTTTTCCAATATTTGTTCTTTTTTTTAAATCGATTAAAATTATATAATTTATTATACCGTCCCAATTATCACGTAAGAACGTATCTCAAATTTAACAATTTTAAAGAGCAATTTAAAGATCGAAAGTTTTTAGCTAATTTAAATCAATAAAAAAAGTGCACTAGCTAATTCATTTAATGTTAATTTAGTAGGCCATTTTTCTTCCAAAAAATAATTTAAATTATTATGGATTAATTAAAAATGTATTATAAAATAAACAAAAAATAAACGAAACAAATTTTTTTTAAGATTTTTTTTCACATCTGGTAATGGGCAAGACTATTTCACGATTTGTAGGTACAAAATCTTATTTTCAATCTTAACCACAAAAAATAATCTAAAAATCCAATTGGTTTTTTCACTAGGCAAGTGTTTTTATCGCTATAAAAGTTAAAAAATCACATTTTGTAAAATCTAATTGTTCCAAAAAGTAATGGGTAAAAGAAGTCGCTAATAAATTCAATTGAATACGTCAATGCAGAAACTGAATATGTCCTACCTATCTAGTTTTGAGATAAATAAGAAAAACTGAACAGAAAGTGGACATGTTTTGGACATATTCAGTTTCTCTACTATATTAACACGTTCACTGCCGACGAAATAGTCCGCCCATATTGCAGTGCCGATGTTTTTTTTTTGGAAATTTAAGCTAAAAATGGACTAAAAGTTGTTTATCGTTTCTTATCGTAAGGTTCTATATGAAAAAATACTAAAACAAAAAACAAATAAACAAACGCGGTAGACGCGTTGGCGGCACCCAGCGACAAAAACAATGCTATATGCCACCGTACAGAACGCGGGTCCCGCGTGCTCGGCATATTGTAAAATACACAAGAACGCGGTAGCCGCGTTGCCGGCAGTTAAAGGGTTAACGCCTTTGTATAATCTATAGATTACCGTGACATGTGAAATTTCTACGCCATTCGATCGGGCACCCTTTACTTATAGTAAATTCATGTTTAACTCAATATCCCTAAAAAGTGGACATATTCAGTTTCTGCATTGACCTATTCAATTTATGTCACAGTCAATGTACCTACCTACTATACATGTATACAGTATATAGCTAGCTAGTAACTAGCTAGTATACTTGTATAATATACCCTATTTATGTAGTCATTGGGCGTATTCTGACAAAAGCATAGTCATTGGTCGTAAATATTCCATTAAACCACCAATCAGAAAAGAATACCTAACAATAATGGCAAGAAGACTTTAGATAGGTACACATATTTTTTCATAATATTTTTATATTTACCGATATTTACAAATTTTTATACCAAACTTATTAAAGTTAAAAGGTCAAAAGTCAAAGGTCAATGCCAAGGCCTGAGCACAATTCCGCGCGAAGTATGAAAAGTATAATAAGTATGAAACAAATTTTGTTTAAGTTGTATTCCGAAATTATTTCTGATAGAAACCGAGATTTTGGTTCCTCTGAAATTTCTGTCAATTGTCAAAATTTTCCTGAAACTTGGCCGTTTGGTTACTGAAAAAGCTACCGCACATTTTTAGCGGTAAAATTTTGGTTGCTGTCAATTTTTTAACTAAAATTACTTTATGTGTCTCTAAACAAAAATTTGTTTTTAATTTAATAAATAAAACCCCCCGATTTTGTTATAACAATTTATATTTAATAGGTAGGTAAACAAACTTTTACCGCTATGAAAACAACTTCCTACAAAAGTACAATATTTAGGTACTTTTGTAGGAAGTTGTTTTCATTGCGGTAAAATTAATGAAATCATTGAAAATTTTCAATATAATAAAAATAAAAATTCAAATTATTACGCATAGTTTGGTATTTTTTACCTACCTATTGTTTATAAATGAAAATTATTACTACCTATAGGTACATAGTATAGTATTTTTTACCTAAACGCCTCCTATCAGGAACCTCTTTATCCTTACTGGAATTATCGTCCCAGTTGATAATTTTAAAAAAGACTGCTGCTGAATTTATTTTAAAGATATTATGTAGGTATAAAAATACACCCATATAGAAAAAGTTTGGTTAGAATAACAGACAGATAACCGCTTTTTGACAGCATTCCAAAATTAGTTCGTTTCTATCAACCACTAACCGACCAAAATCGTGGTATCGCTCCTCAAAAAATAATTTAGGAACATAAATTTAATCTTAGATTAAACAATAATTATTCAATTAACCCAATTTAGTAACACGCTGCATCAGCAATAAAAATAAAGTAATTCCATCAAGGAAGGACACCGTTATAACGTTGTGGTGTTTCCAAAATGAGTAATAACATTAAAGATCCCTTTTGTATATAAATAAACATTGTTCTAATTAAAGTCAGTATTATCACGATTATAATGTGTTTTACCCCACCACACCTCTGGTTTCCAATCCTTAACTGTTGGTTAGTTTTAGTTCAAGGTGAATGTATCTTGGTTTTAGTTTATGCACACCTTTGTGGCGTAAATATATATGTTAGCACCAATATTCGAAAGCATTCATTATGTTATAACTAAGCATTTTAAAATTTACGCTCTACACCTAATGTTCTTAGTTATTTTGCATAATAACTAGACATTTCGGTTAATATCGATAATATGCAATATTATGAATATTTTTAAATCACGTTATTAGGGGTGAGTAGGTAAAATACAAGAAATATATTATTAAATTTAATTATTTACTCTTATTAGTATAAGAGTCGTATAACTGGCTCCATTCCCTCATCTCTTCCAGACAATTACGCCGACTTAAATCTTTGTACAACGAGGGATCCCCCTAGATCGGGAAATCAGTATTACCATTGATTCTTCACTCAACGGTATTACTCTAAACATTCGGATTACTGTTTGAAGTTGGGGAGTTGTAAGTTTGTTGTAGGGGCTTGTCTTTCTAGTTGTAGGCTACTACTTGACTGTCATTGAAAAAAAGTTGTCTTTTTTATTCCTTCATGTGAGGATCACGACCTTCCTTCGGGTCATTTTATTATTTTTCCTTCTGCACCACATGCGTTTAGTGTGCCAAGTAGGTAGTTGTCGAGTTGCGTGGTTACCTCTGATTCTGCCCTGTCGTTTGTTAATTACGTTATAGTAGATTTACCTTTACCAACTGCTCTTATGTTTTTTATCTTTCGCCGTTGGTTTCCATCCGGTAATCTTCTTTTCTTTCAGGTCCTTTAACACTTCTTTTATCCACTTCTTTCTTGGTCTTCCCCTTTTCCTTTTTCCTTCCGCCAGTTTTGTTCCAATATTTACACAAACCTTATTTATAAACTTGTTATTATAGGTTTCTTATCAATATCATAATTTCATATTTATTTATTAATTAATACAATAAAATAATATTTATATTCAAGCGTTCTAATTTAAACTTTATTATTGTCCACGCTCACTATCAAAGTATTCAATTATCTCCTAGGCTGTAAAAATAATTTAGACCAATTAGGTGAAGTTTTATTCTGTAAAAACATTCGACTATTGTCAGATCTGATCTAACCTCACTTTCTACTTTTCTACATTTTATGTACTGTTTAATAAACGCATAAAATGTTGTAAGAAATGCCGCTGAGAAGTGTCTTTTTTGTGCTTCGATCAGCACAAAAATACTTT